AGTGATGTTTCGGAGTTTGTAGAGCTCCCATTCAAAGCTCCCGCGGCCTTATTTTATGAAATCCAAATTTTGGTCCAGCATCCTTTTAAACAAGCTTTTTCAAATATTAGCATAATGAACATACAATTGGACAACTTGCTAACTTACAACAGTATCCTCCTGATGTGCCGTACAAAGGTTCTGTCACACGCACCAACCGAGGGGATTGCTGCAAGTCCATCCACCCTCAACTTTTAGTCACCTTTGAGACTGAAGAACTGCTGTATGAGGCCCGTCCAGCCACTGAGCACACAAAGAGAAACACGGGAAATAACACTCAGTGACGAGCAAAGTCTCTGGGCGGAAAGCCCTCCATGACAAATGAGCACTGTTGGGTTACGGCAACGGCGTAATACACAGGTTCTGCTTCTTCGATGCCTTCACCGCTGCGGTGGGTGGTCGTAGCTAGTCGTAGCAGATAGTGTCACGTTTGTTGCTCGTACCAAAACACCAAAGCCGCGTAGTATTCTTGTTGCCGAAGTTCATAAGCCTACGTTCCCGGTCTAGGCACACTACACAAAGCCAGCCACAAGCAAAGCTAGCTAACCCCGTTTCTGCTTCGGCGACAAGCCGCCAGGGCGGTGACACCGCCGCTGAAACTTCTGCCTCGGCTCTTCAAACCAGGGCCCCTCAGTGCACAAGCATGACACTTGCTAGGCTGCTCTGCCTGTACCAAGTGATACGAGCCCGCATGTTCCCTCTCATAATTCTTCCGACTGTACGTGCCCCGTATTGTACACGGCCATACTGTGCACATGGCGAAAGTTCCCTTTTGAAAGTGCTCCACGGTCGGCCTACAATGCTGCGAACACATAGCACATGACCACTATAGGTGACGACACTTGGGACACTTGCCATCCGTCGTTGTGGCGCAAAGTCGCTTTCTCAGTCGTCCTCACAAGGGGCAAGGAAAGGCAGGCACTGCATAAAAAATCAATACATATTATAACACTGGCTGTGGCAAACTAGTTTCAAAGATGATACAGTCATGTCTTCTTAATATGGACACCTCCGTACTATAAAAAGATTTTTTTTCTATAATGTAAGGTGTTCATATGAGAAAATTAAATTTAAAACAAAAATTGGATAACAAGCATAAACAAACAGTTTATTCAGCTAAAAGATAATGAGATGTGAGTTTGCTCTATCGCTTTAGAGCCGTTTAACATGTAGCACTACTGTCGTTTACAAGAACAGATACCCAGGCTGTAAAGTGATGATCGGCTGAATAGCAAAAGATGTTGCACTGTATGCACAAGCCGGATGTAGTTGACACTTAGCTGCCGGCAGTTAGGATCCTATAATCTTATGATCGCAGACGGGAATTACATCTGGTGCCTACGGCTGGAATAATGTCTTGCTTCGTAATAGAAAAAGCACAAAAAAAACACAGGATGGAGAAACCGGGTGTCACAAATTCAGGCTTCTCTTCATTTTTTTAAATACTTTTATGATATTTTTTTTGGACAACTTTAAGTGTTGGTACGGTCAAAAAGGGGGAGTGTGGTGCCACTTTTAATCTCAGTTCGTCCCGTCGTAGTTCCTTTCTAAGTCCCTAACGAATTTGCTCGTTTGCGGAATGGGTTTTTGTTAACGGGCGACGTAGATCATCCCAGGTCACAGTTTGTGGCTTTGACCTTGCGGACGGAGGGGTGCGTATGCTGGCTCGCGTATGGTGCCGATTTGACACGCAGGGGCGCCGCCGGGATACAAAGATGTTTACGCTGGCTAGCGCGCTTTTTGAAGGCGGCGGCTTTGCTCAGTCTGCCGCCTGTCGTGTTCTATGTATCGGCGATAATTGATGTTTTTGGACTCGTACGGGGGAATGGATGGGCACGTATGTTTGGTTGTCTGAAAAATGTAATAGGTTTTGCCATTTGGGTCGTTGCTGTGTAGCTTTGTTTTTCTTGAAAGTTGACTGACCCGAAAGGCGGGGAAACGGGAGGTTGGTCGGTAGACGAGCCTATAAAAGGGGGTTTGGGAACAAAGAAGGTAGTCCAACCCCAGAGCTGGCCGGGTCGCTGCTCAACGCGGTTACTCCCTGCAGATGAGTCTTGGAAAGTGTAATTTTTGGCTTCTGCCCTGCCTGTCGGGCAAGTGTTTGAGTTTGTTGTGCTGAAGCGTGTGTGGCTGTGTGGTGCGCGGTGTCGACCTCATCAAGCCTCTAATTGGACCGCTGGACTCCGAGACGCCGTTCTTCGGCCGACAACTCCAGACTACGGACTGCTCTGGACTCAGCACCTACCGGAAAGCTAAGCCTGGTTTTCTAGGACTTGTCTACTGCATTCTCTGGCTCTGAAGTACGAATTGTTGAATGTTGGAAAGATTCTTACACAGTGCTACTTTCTGTCGCGACTGTTTTGGGGGATTATCCCATGTGTGTAGCGGTAACGTTCGAGTTCCATCTCGGTTTGCTCTCGTTGTTAGTGTCGGGTTTTCGTCACTGTTTTGTTGGCTTATTCCGGTTTTATGAGCGTCGAGTCTTTTTAGTATTAGTTTCTGGCTTGCAGGGCTCCATAGCTTTGAGCTGGAGTGTGGTTTGTGTTGAGTGCTCTATTGCCGTGTACAGCTTAGTTTTTCACTTTATTAAATCTAATCTTTTGTTTACTTATCCTCCCTGTGTCATCATCTTTCTCTACTGATTATACACCAGGCGTGGACCTAGCGCTAGTCAACGGTCGAACTTAGCTCTCTTGTTCTTTTCCCGTAATTTCTCCTTTATCCTCAGAGTGGATCATTGAATTATTTTTATTAATTTGCACCCCACTCCGTGACGCCGAAACAGATGGGAAAGCACCACAACGTATTAAACTCGTCGAACATTAAATGTTCTTGAATTATACCTCACCCATGCTTGCTACGTGATGAAGCCCAAAGGTTAGTTCAATGCCAATCAATATTAAATGTCTTTAGATGGGCATCTGCTGCCCGATCATGGCCTTTATTGCAAAGCACTGTTCACACATTTGCGAGTCCTGCAGTGCCTTGTGGAATGGTGGGCGATACTTGCCGTTCCGCAAGGCACTGCAAGACAGATCAGGCTCAACTTTTGAATGTCGACGTGCTTACGGAATGCTGCAGCAAACCAATCATTCGCCGAGGGAAAAAGAAAGGAAGCTGCATGCCTCCGTGTGCTCATTGCCAGTGTTTTCTGCTGTGCTATGTACCCTGCTTGTGTGCTGTGATTTGCAAGCCAGCGCAGGATATATTTCCTTGATTTGTTTGTCTGTTCAGCTGTGCGAGGTTGTGATTGAAACAACCAAGAAGTATAGACCGCCATTCTTTTCATCAAGCTAAGGCTTCGCTCATCCGAACCGGGGACGATGACTGCTGTTGTTTACACGATTTTCGACAGCTATGTGGAGTGGCTTTGTGTTTAAAATTGCAATCCTAAGTGCAAAAAGAAGTTACCGGAGACTATATTGTTAAAGGTTGATTTCAACTGGCAGGCTCTGGATTCATTCAACATTGTTAGCATTTCTACTTACCCGTGATCGCTTCATTTGCCAAACACGTTAGTGGCCGGTCACCTTACCAATGAAACTAATGTGCTGGTGTCTCCGGCGAAGAATTCCCTCAGGGCTACATGCAATGCACAACCCAGTTTGTAGCCCGTTGTGACTGAAAGCTTTCACACTGGGGAAACGCTGTTGTCACAAACGCAGTCAAAGAATGCGATAGGATTGAGGGAACAGGGGGATTATCCACGTTGACTGACTGCATGAGCATATGTTTCTATCGCCACCGTGTTTCCTCCACGCAGGCGACGGAGAAAACGATATAGAGACTCCTCGCGCTTGCCAAGTTTCTCTAAAACGTCGAAATACTAGACACCCAGCAGCGAAGTGTCGATATTGCCGGAGAGAGCGGCGGGACAACGATCAGCGCAGGATCGCGGCTTCGCCACTCTTATACGACGGTGTCTTCGGTTTCCGCTCTCAGCAGCTTCCACCGGGACGCTAGCCGTGCCTAATTGTGCTAGCTTTGAGCACCACAGTTCATAGGGTTCTGTAGTGATGTGTAAAAGAGAAAGTTACGTCAGATCATATCACGCGAGTGCGCTGATTGGGTAGCGGTTCCCATTGTTAGAAAATCAATAAAAGGCGAGCGATCGGGCCGATCGCTCGAGGACACGCTCAGACCACAATCCAGAACGAACGTGTCCGTTGGCTTGCTCCTGCGGGATCTGATGTCGTCGGAGGAATCGCCGCTCCGAAATGACCGGCCGTCTCCCGGAACCCACACCGCAGCCCGGTGAGTCGGACCTCACGCATCCAGCGATGTCCCGGCGAACCTGCCTTTAGGTGAACGGCACCTCATCACCCCGAAGACTAGCTGGCCAGCGCGCGGTCTTATAATACTACATTTATGGCGACGAGGATTGTTCAGGGTTCATGGTATGACGGTCCTCCGCGTCTGCCGCTCTCCGCTGTCAATTCGGGCTTCGTTTTCCTACAGCCAACCGCCGTTTGGAACGTTAGGGTAGTCATCGGCTTGGGCACCCGGTAGCTATCCCGGCTCCCTACGTTGGTTTATTGTAGCGGTTTCAAGCCCCGAGCTCTTTGCTTTCTTTTCATTTTTCACCGTATTTTGTTTCGCGGCTTGCCGGCCGAATTCCCCTTTTGTCCTAAACACCGCGTAAGGGTGTGCGACTGCTAAGTGCTCTGTATACTGAAGCAACTGTATGTAGCCGTTGGCTACGAGCATCTTTTGAGTCGCTCACCTATTTTCAAAACTTACACTTTGAAGTCGTTATGGCACTTAGCTGCTGCAGTTTGTATGTGAGCTTCGATTACGGTCCTCGCACCTTTTCGACTCGCTTATCGTGACTGTGCGACTCGAGCTACGCAATTCTTGTTCTTGATTTGCGGTGCGGTGCTCACCGGCTTTAAGTCAAAGTTTTTTTCGGGGTTTACACGATTTTGGTTCTGTTTTGTAAATTAACTCTAAGAGTCCGCGCTCTTTCATGCACAGTTGAGCGTATACTCTTGCTTTAACGATATATTCAAACAGACATCATGAATACTGAACAACGGCAGATAACGGTCGTTCAGTCCGCGGCGTTGCCACCGCCACCGCCGTTTCTCGCAGTTCCGGGACCGCCACCACAGGCCTGGCCTGCATGGAAAGAGACATTCATGTCATTCTTAGGTGCGGCGGGCCTCGAAGGTGTTGACCCGAAGAGAAAAAAACAGATTCTTTTTTCGTTGTTGGGCATTGAAGGGCAACGAATAGTGTCCGCATTTGGATTCACTAACCTTCCGCATTCGGAACTTCTTGACGAGTTCGAGACCTTTTTAGCGGCCGTGGAGAGCCATTTTGTTTTTTCCGGATCTCTAGCACTCGAGCGTAAGAAGCTCCGTCTTCGCGTTCAGCAGCCGGGAGAGAGTGTCACGGAATTTTTAGCGGCGTTACGCCATCAGCACGCGCTTTGCGCGTTTGAAGACGGGTCCGAGAACACGCGACTTTGCGATCTTTTTCTTGATGGTTTGATCTCGCGCCGTGTTCAGGATCGCATTCTTAGAGACTGCGTAGGTCGCCAGGTACCGACGCTTGAGCGCGCGATACAGCTCGCGCTGCAGTTTGAGCAGTTGGCACGCACAGCAGAGCAGTACCATCAGCCACGTCAGGGGGAGCCCGTCGCCAGCTGTTCCACTGCACCCGTGCAGTATGTTGCTGGGCCCGAGACCGAACAAGTACAAGCGGCTGCTCGTCATGACGACCAGTCTCCAGCACTCTTCTCGGGAGACAACTGTTTCAGCGAACATGGGGCAAGGTTCCCATCGTGGCCACGTGACCCCACCAGACATGCTCCGAGGTCTCAATGGGGGCGTCCGGGGACAGCCCATGCTCCACGCCCGCCGGCGCGACAGAGTAACATTCCACATCGAGACCCGCCTCCTGCGAGAACGGGGCCGCAACAGGACAACTACTCATGTTGGTTTTGCGGCCGAAGGAATCACGCCAGGGAGAACTGCCCTGCACTCAACTCGCAGTGTTTCCAGTGCGGTAAAATCGGACATTTTGCCGTCGTTTGTCGAAGCCGCGCGCCGCCGCCAGCCGCGGATGGTGGATGCCGGCGACCTGCACTTCCAAGTCGTGGCCGTGGACAGAACTCCGGACGCCCGCGGAGGCCTGGTCCGACCACTGCGTTCAACTATAACGTCACCATCGACGGGGATGCTCCCGTTCTGTCTTTGGAGTCACAGGACCGCAGCCTGTACGACGCCTTCATTGCTGACGTAAAGGTAAACGGCTTGCCTCTCCAGTTACTGATCGACACTGGTTCGCAGGTTTCAATTCTGAACGAAAAGATTTTCGAGCAACTTAACAAGACTAGAAAGATCCGCTTACGGAAGCCTACGAGACGGCTTATGCATTATCTGCATCAACCGATTCCTGTGTTGGGATGTTTCACGGCTCAAGTCGTATTCAAAAACCGACAGACGCCACTAGATTTTTACGTCATTCGTGGAGGACGTTCTCTACTTGGTATTGACGCCGTCAGAGAATTGAAACTTCGGCTATCAGGAGCTGAATTTGAATGTTTTCATCTGGATGCAGCTGACCCAGGCCAAACGCCACGCTCCGATGTGAGGCCGGCGGGTGACCGTCAGCGGCGCCCGTTCACCGTATCGTCGCAGCGCTCAAGTCAGTTACGGGCAAATCTACCGAATGCCCATGGCATTGGTCCACAACCTTCAGGCCAATCGTCAGTGCCACCAGGTACTAACGCAGCCCACCCTCAGTCAAGATCACCACTGGTCACCAGCGCCGCCCGATCACAGTCCCCAAGTACAGACAGCGTGGACGAGTTTTCCACGAAGGTGAAGCAGCCTGCGGTAAGCTGTACACAAGCTTCAAGCCCTCCTGTACAAGATACGTCAAAACTTCCACGCGGATTCGAGGAGTTTGAGCATCTGTTAACATCAGAACTTGGCCTGCTACGAAACCAGACACACACTGTCAAGGTGCGCCAAAACGTACCTCCAGTACAGTCCAGGCTACGTCGCCTACCCATCAGTCTGCGTGAAGCGGTCTCAGAAGAAATTTTTAAGCTCGAGCGCCAAGGCGTCATCGAAAGAATAAATGCGTCAGAGTGGGTCTCGCCAATCGTTGTAGTAAGAAAAAAGGATGGCAGCATCAGGATGTGCGTCGACTTGCGTGCGCCCAACCAAGCCGTCGTCATAGATTCCTTTCCGCTGCCACACATAGAGGAGCTCCTGCACTCATTGCACGGAGCATCTCATTTTTCGAAGCTGGACCTGGCGTCGGCTTACCACCAGATCCGACTTGACCCGGTGAGCCGAGACCTGACGGCATTTATCACTCACGAAGGATTATTTCGCTTCAAGCGAGTTTGTTTTGGTTTGGCGTCCGCTCCCGCAGCGTTTCAGCAGATCATGTCTAGGGTTCTAAAAGATTGTAAGGGCGTCCAATTTTACTTAGACGACATCATTGTGTACGGGTCTTCACAGGAAGAGCATGATTCGAACTTGCGTCAAGTCTTGTCCGCAATCTCTCGAGCGGGAATGAAACTTAATCGAAAGGGCGTTTTTAACGTACGCGAGTTGTCGTTTCTGGGCCACAGTCTTTCAATGGATGGTTTAGCACCCCTTCCATCAAAAGTAGACGACGTCCGGAACTTCGAAACTCCGTCAGACCCGTCGAAGTTGAAGGCATTTTTGGGGTTAATTGAGTATTATAGTAAGTTCATACCCCACTGTTCAACCATCGTCGAACCATTGCGTCGTTTGCTCCGTAAAGGCGTACAGTTTGTTTGGTCCCCTGAAGCTCAGGCAAGTTTTGCCAAGATAAAATCATGCATTCAGAATGCACCAATCCTTTCCATGTTTGATCCGACGCTACCAGTCATAATATCGACGGATGCATCAAACTATGGCTTAGGAGCTGTCTTGCAGCAGAAGTACGGGAAAAACCTTCGGACGGTTGCTTTCGCATCACGCTCGCTGACCGACGCTGAACGTAGATATTCTACGGGAGAAAAGGAGGCCCTAGCTTGTTTATGGGCATGTGAAAAATGGCATGTGTACCTCTGGGGTAGGCCATTCACTATTCGAACAGACCACCAAGCGTTAGTCACGCTGTTGTCCAACAAAGGCTCTGGGGTTCGCCCTTTGCGTATAACTCGATGGGCTTCGCGTCTCTTGAATTATAACTTTCGTATGGAGTACCAGAAAGGTGCCGACAATCTCGTTGCCGACACGTTGTCTAGACTTCCCCTTTCAGACACAGAAAATGGTATGAATTTTGACGAAGACATAGTTTCCTTCGTGATTGCTCCAATATCACGCTCAGAATTTCAAGAAGCTACGGCCATCGACCCGGTTCTGCCCGGTGTGATGCATTACACAGCGTCATCTTGGCCGCAAGATAGCACGAGCATACCTGAACTGCGCCCGTACTTTAACGTCAGGAACCAGCTGTCTGTTCACAACGACTTATTGTTACAAGGGGAGAAAGTAGTTGTTCCAGAAAGACTCAGAGAGAATATCATCAATCTTGCGCACGAGACGCATCAAGGAATTACGAGAACCATCAGCGTCATCAGAGACCGCTACTGGTGGCCACGCATGGACGCCGAAATCAAGTTTAAAGTACAGCACTGTACTGTTTGCAACGCAACAGACAAGCCGGTTAAAGCAGCGCCTGCTCCTCTTCAGCCGGTCGAGTTCCCAGAGCGACCATGGGACAAGCTCGGTTTGGATATCGTGGGTCCCATCGACGGAGCTCCACCAAGTCAAAAATATTTCTTGGTCCTGATTGATTATCACTCGAAGTGGCCTGAAGTTCAACACACATCAGCGGCGACAACAGCTACGGTGATTACTTTTCTACAAAACATCTTTGCCCGGGAAGGTTTGCCCCGAGAGCTCGTCACGGACAATGGCGTTCAGTTCGTCTCTAGGGAGTTCGAAGAATTTTTGAAAAAGCAAGGTATCAGACACCTCAAGTCTTCCTTGTATCATCCGCAAGCAAATGGGCAAGTTGAACGGTTCAATCGAGTACTAAAGTCATGTTTACAACTGGCAACAGTTCAAGGACGACCACTTCCTGAAGCAGTTCGCGACTACTTAGAAGCGTACAGGCGTACTACTCACCCAGCAACGGGTCAGACTCCTGCAGTCCTTCTTCACGGACGAGTACATAGATCAAGACTGGATCTACAGGGTCTTCCGACACCCAAGGTGCCAGAGAGAAGCACGTCTCAGCTCCACGAGCGAGTGAAGAAGTACCAAACAAAAATGAAGATTTACTCGGACGCAAGACGAGCTGTGAGACGGCCAAAGTTCATAGCCGGCCAAGCCGTCCGAATTTTTCGTCCACAACACAGCGACAAGTTGCACAGCAAATACACAGGTCCGCAAGTGATTGAAAAGCAAGTTGGCCCTGCCACATATCAGTTTAGCGACGGACGGAAGTGGAACGCTAAGAAACTCACTCCTGCACCTCTCCAAGATCAAGCAAGTGCGCCACACGCAAGCAGAGGAAATACAGAAAACCAACAACTGCAACGAGTAGATTGCTTTGACGAGGATGATGACGACGATTCAGTCACCGACACGCTAAACTTCCCAAAACTCTACGTAGCGACCAGATCGCCCACAGCTCTAAGGAGACCGACCACATCAAATGACCCGGTAACAACAACTCCTAAGTCTACGACAACTGATGAAAGAACAGCGGTAGCTCTTGTTGCCCAGCCGGAACCCGTAAAGTTTCTTCCAGCCAACCTATCAGTGGAGTATTTTGACCCCGTCGACACAAGCACTCCTGCGGCATCGCGCCCCGAGACACCACAGTCGATGCCGCCTCTCGAATCTTCACGAAGTGACGTGAGTGATTCCGTGGTTGTGGCTGTGTCTTCAGTGGTACCAGTTGTACCACACCGCTCTGCCATGGATTCAAGGCCTGGTGAACCACGCGAACAATCTCAAGCTGGTCATCAAGCATCGCCTGCTGTTCCAAGGCGTTCTACGCGGCAACGGCGACTTCCAGGAAGACTGAAAGACTACGTACTTTCGTTTCTGAGTGTAAATAACAGTAATACGTCTATGGACATGATTCACGAAATTGGACAAGAACCACAGATGTAATATATCTTTCCTCTCGATTTGTTTAAGTGCATAACGCTAGTTTTAAGACGTTATTGCAGTGCATAACGGAAGTCATAGAGTAACTTATAGTAACGTGCATAACGCGAGTCAAAGGGATTATTTAACGAGAAAGGGTACTAACGTGCCTCCTAAAGGCGTTTAGAGCCAAGCGCTTACTAGTTTTTGGTTAGTCTAGTTATTGGTTACAAAACATAGGATGTCTAACAACTGTTAGTATCACAGCAATTTTAACTGTCTAAAATTACATCTTAAGTTTTTTTTTTAGGAATAGTTTGACTATTCCATTTTCAGTAACGGTTGGCTCATTAATTTAAAGAAAGGGAAAAGTATTGTAAATTAATGCTCTGGTTATTAACAGACATGTTTATCGCTATTTCATATAAGAGAGGGAGAATGTAGTGATGTGTAAAAGAGAAAGTTACGTCAGATCATATCACGCGAGTGCGCTGATTGGGTAGCGGTTCCCATTGTTAGAAAATCAATAAAAGGCGAGCGATCGGGCCGATCGCTCGAGGACACGCTCAGACCACAATCCAGAACGAACGTGTCCGTTGGCTTGCTCCTGCGGGATCTGATGTCGTCGGAGGAATCGCCGCTCCGAAATGACCGGCCGTCTCCCGGAACCCACACCGCAGCCCGGTGAGTCGGACCTCACGCATCCAGCGATGTCCCGGCGAACCTGCCTTTAGGTGAACGGCACCTCATCACCCCGAAGACTAGCTGGCCAGCGCGCGGTCTTATAATACTACAGGTTCACAGCGCCCGAGCGAAAGCTCGCGCAAAAGAACCGGCGAGCAGTCGAGTCGTTTCCAATCGACGGGGTGGCTAAACGCCGGTTGTGTGAATCGGGCTTAACGCCTGAGCCGGCTTGCTCAAAGCAAATCTAACGTTCTTGAATGGCATGTAATAAAAATCTGAGACGTGCTACATTCTATACAAACTTTATAAAAAAAATCAAACACTCACCTTCGGCTGCTACGTCCGCCGTACCGCTTCAAGGCAGATTGGATTGGATTTTTTGGATTGGATTGGATTTGGGGCTAACCCCTTTGTATCGGGGGATCTCAGCAGCGCTGGATCTAGCCTGGCTAGTAGCTACACTAGCCAAAAACTTAGTTGTGCTCTTTTGCTCTCCTCCACCAACACTCCAGTCTCCTCTTTGTCACCTCCACTGGCTGCGAGGGGAGGCACTCACTTGATCGAATGACGTTTTAGCGAACGCCCACGTTTCATCGAACGACACTTTAGCGAATAGTCGGACGCCGCGAAGCGGCGTTTTCGGGTGGGCCAAGTGAGTTCATATTTTTGTAATGAGTTGCCGCAGACTGTCGCCGCGAAGCGGCGTAAAGCGCAGCGCGACAGATGGGTTAACGCGCGCCCCCGTTATTCGCTAAAACGACCATTCGCTCAAATGTCGCCGTTCGCTAAAATGTCATTCGCTCTTGTGATATGGACCCGGCTGCGAGCTATCGGCGTCGTACTGTTCGTCAACGCCCCGGAAACCCAGCGCCACCGCCATGTCTGGTTCGTACGTCACGTCCGGCTTTATACCCGTGCATTCCAGTATGACGTGTTCCGCCGTCTCGTCTGCTCCTTGCGCGCACATGACGCACTTCACTTCCATGTCCATGTACTTCGCGCGGAACATGCGGGTCCGCAGCATGCCGCCTCGGGCGTCCGAAAGCAGTGCACTGCCCTTGCTGTTGTCCATGAAAGGTATTCGCTTCACCTCCTGTTTCTCTCTGGCATACAGGGCCAGCGCTGGTTTCAGACGTGCCGCTTCCGCCCATCGCCGCGTCTCGCTCTCAATCACCCTCGTGCGGATGCTCTGCTGCAGTTCCGGCTGCTCCGCGGCTGGGTAGAGGAGTGGGCCGTTGACCTCGTATCGCTGTTCCAGCTGGCGCGTCCGTCGCACCCACCGGGTTGGGACGGACCGAAGATGTACATACTTGAAAACCTGTCTGGCCCAGCGCTCTTCGCTCATCCGGCTGAGGCGTCGCTCGAAGTCCAGCTTGGCTCGGGCCTCCCTGGCCTCAAAACCGGACCAGCCCATGTCTCCTTGGACGGCTTCGTTCGGTGCTGTTCGGCTTGCTCCCAGTGCCGACCTTCCCACCTCCCTCTGACGGACCTCGAGGTATTGCCTGGTACCTGATGACAGGCACAACACTGAGTTGCCAAAAGTGAGCCCCGGCACCGCCACCATCTTCCAGACCGCTCGGGTTACCTCGTATCGGTTATATCCCCAGAGGGCCCTGGCCGTTGCTATGCCCTTGTTATTCCCGCTCTTCGCCTTGACCTTCGTCTTGACCTTCGTCAGAAGCAACATGGCGCCAGTGTTGCCAACCCATTTTTCGAAAATACCCCACGCCGGCGTCCAGAAAACCCTACATTACCCTACGAATGTTTCTTATTACCCTACATTTTACCCTATGATGCAAATCTTTTTTTTTTTCAAATAAAACAGTGGCATGGATTATGATGATACAGGGTAATATTAATACAGTACAAAGCGTCAGGGCACGCCTGCAAGCGCAAACCTGCGTTATTCTAGAACACCATGCTTGCATGTGCGCTTTGTAGCATCAGCACAATAGTGATGTAGCTAGCGCAGACATCCCCAACCAACATGCTTAGCCGACTTGTCGTAAAATTAAAAAGTGAGCTACGTGGGACCAGCACCCGCGGCGACAGATAAGGCGGCTCATTACAAAAAGAAGCTAATCCGAGCGGTTTATTAGCTTCTTTGGGTGTACCGCCTAGGCATTCGTCAAACTAAGGTGCTATTTCGACAAACCAGGCTATTACACCAGGGGAGGATAGGAAACCGGCGGCTCTTCCGTAATCGCTAACGTCGTTCGCTCAAGTGAACGCCTCCAGTCCCAACTACTTCACTTTCATAATTAAAGTAACCCCGAGACAAGAGAACAAGGAAAAGGGATAAATACAACAAAACAACACTCGCCTTTTTTCTCTTCCCTTGTCTCGGGATTACTTTAACCACGATCACTCACCAGCTCGCTTGCGCCTCCCCCCCCCCTTAACGCTCATTTCACTTTACTTTTGTTGTGCCCAACCAAGTAAACGATATACTATACTTCCTGCTTACAGTAATAACAGACAAATTTCAACGTGTGAGGTTTCTTATGTTTATTTCTACATATGTGCTCACTTGCACTATCCTTAAAAATGAAAGACGAAGGGATGATTAGTCAGGTACAAACAGTGTCTTAATTGAACAAAAATGCCTGCATAAGGCTCTTTAGTACATTTGCTTGCTGTGGAGCTTCAAATGCTGGTCGTCGACCTTCCATTTCACGCAATTGCTACCACTAGCAGCAAATGCTGACTGTACGACAAAAACGGCGTTCAGATTTTCCGTTCCCAATCTGTTGCGCTTTTTTGTTTTCACGTCAGTCATGTTAGAAAAAAATCCTTTCAGTGGCCGCGTTGGAATGGGGCAAGGTTAGTACAAGGTGGGCTAAGGCAGCAAGGTTTTGGAACTCTTGGTTCCTGCTGAACGTCTTCGTCACTCCAATGTCCGCCCAAAATGATGCGGTCGCTTTCGCCTCTAGAGCTGCCGTTTCCTCTTTACTGATGTATGATGGCAAGCTTCTCCACTCTTCTTCAATTTTGCTTGGGTCAGGCAATAGGTGCGCATAGCGCCTCTAAAGTGTCGGCAGCGCTCGTAGATTGTTTCTGGCTTCTACACTCAACGCAGTTTTTGGCGCTACAAACTGAACTTCGTGAAAAAAAGCGCTAGAGACAGGTAGCCTTTTTTTAATCTCGACAGCTGCTGTCTGATAAAATGCGAGACAGCGAACTCTGAGATCGTGAACTTCGGCCTGCATTCCAGCTTCGCTGCATTTCGCCAAGGCTGTGTTGCACCCTTCGCCCAAATAGACATCTCCTAAGGGGAGTAGAACTCTTGAATCCATAGGGTTGATGTCATCCTTTTCTAGAGCAGAAGGTTGGATGAAGTTCTGCAGCAAGCATCTGAGAAGACGCTGGCTCTCCTGCTGGAGCACTGCGATGAGGTTTTCTTCGCTCTGCAAGAGCGCGTTAAGCTTGTTGACAAAGTTCAAAACATACTTCATAAACCTCAGATAAGCTTCTGTGACACAGTTCATGTTATTCAGAATTCTTTCAGCCGCCAAAATTCGATCCTTAATGGAAGCTTGCAGGAAAAGTAGTCTGAGGGTTTCCCACTGCTCTAGGATACGGTCGATGCTGGCGTGGAGCACAAGCCACCGTGTCTCGATAGGCCGCAGAATCTTTCTTTTTGTCCGTTTTGAGAAAGTCCTGTAGAGCACAAAGTTGGGCTTGCCGCTTGCTGCTTTGGCTGAAGTAACTAGCGATGTTTCGCAAAAGGTCTTCTAGATACCTGGGCAAGTTCATTGCAGCCTTGCTGGCCGCGATGTGCGCAGAGTGGCATATGCAGCGTACCAGCACAAAACTTCTGCCTGCCTTCTGTTGCAGCCTCTGCGCCAACGAGTTCTGCTTGCCCACCATAACACTGGCATTGTCAGATGCGAGGCCTACAATGTTTCCGAGAGGTATTTTCTTCTTCGAGAAGCAATCTTCGACAGCTGTCGCAAGAGCCTCGGCGGAGCAGTCTGTTGCATCCAGGGGAATCACTTCAAGGAGCTGTGTTACTACCTCTCGTTTGTCAAGTGAAAAGTATCGCACGACACAGCAGAGAAGCTTGGTTCTAGCGATAGCAGTACCTTCGTCAACCAAGAGAGAGAATTTCGTATCCCTCAGCGCACCAGAGAGCTCATCCGTTTCCGTCTGAGCCAAAACGTTCTTGATTATCGCAGCGCATTTTGTGCGGTGTAGCTGCACCTTCTGAGCAATAGGAGAGTCCGGGAAAATATTCCGTACAAGCTCTCC